GCCAATTCTAAATTTATTAAAATAATATTAGACGCCTACTTATACATTGTAAGTAGCCATGTTAGTTAGGCCGTCGTGAACGGTGGCCGCCACCAGGGCTGCTCCAGGAAGTAGGCGCAGCAACGATGCGTTGTGCATGAGGCAAAGTTGAGGTAAATATATCGCCTTTTCTGGTCCGTTCACTCGTCTGACACCGATGGTAGGAAATTGAAAAGATTGCCAAAAGTTGCCTCGGGCGCAGTGACTCATGAAGATAAACGGCCGGTATATGAGTTTCACTCAAACTCTGCTCCTCAATATAGGCACAAGGGTCGTATGAAGGTAGCAAAGGTTTCGAGTGCTATCGAAGCCACACCCAAAAGGAGCCGTGGCTGCCTGACTTTCAGCTCTGAGAAGAGCTGGGGTACCCCGTCAGTTCGTAGCACTCCAAGCCCGGACTCTTAGGGCATACTGCTAAATACAAGCGCTTCCAATTCAGTAGAGTGATGGGATGGATTCTCCAGGATGAACATCATTCCCAGGGCTCACTGGCCGACTCAGTGTGAATACCTACGACCAGGCGTAATAAAGTTAATGCAAATAAAACGATTTGTTGAGATCAAGAGATTAGTACAGAAATAGTCATCTCAGTAATCAGTCCGCTAGGGTTGTAGGAGTTCGAGGTGTCTTTCTGTTTGTTTGTGATTGGATGGAGGGAGGCGGATGGCGCCCGTGGCTGCTTCATTTTCAATGAATTTTAACGTAAACCACTACTGTCCTCCGATGGAGTTACAATATTCGCCTTTTGAATTTTTCCAAAATGGTTTTATTAACCAGATTAAAGTCTTCGACGCATTTCTAGGTAATTGAAAAATTTTAAATTAGCACCTAAGCCGAAACTAAACAGTTTCACCGAATCGAGTGTGAAATGTGCCCAGGCTCCCGACAGGAAATCGATCATGTATAAGTAATCGTTAAAATTGGTTTACTTTACTCCCATCACAGGTACCGGCTAAACGTCCAGACAGAGGGTTTATTCAATCTTCTACGGCTGCATGAAGCAGCTGTGAGCATCAATGGGTTCCCGAGCGTTCTCGGCGCTCTTTCTGGTAGATTCCTTAGATTTTTCTTGTTGCACTGTTCCATTTCCTCAGAACTTCCGCGCGAAAAAAACTGGAAGATTGCAGAAATTCACCCAACTGAAAATGTGTAAGTAAGCGGTTATTGTACATGCTGACCTTCCGAGGACCCCCTCTATGGTTCTCTGCCGAACTTGATATGAGCACTGTCAGAGTAGATTATCCGGACCGCAAAAATCATTTCAAGCCTGGTTAGAAAGTTGTCTGCAAAAAATAGCTAAGTTGTAATCCGTCAACTGCCTAGTGTCCACAAGCTGTAATTATGCAGTCGGTAGGCTATGAACTGTTAAATAATTCCCCGAAGTAACAGCCTGAGTACCAGTTAACTCCCACTAGGTCAAAGGAAATTGTCCATAGAAGCGAATATGCGAGTTTCAGTAAGCAGTTCAGAAGTAGAAGATGCGATCGCTGGAACAAGAATTTTTTTGGCCTAACGTTTCGGATTCTGTCGGGAACCCTTAATCCGAGGCAACCGTAGAATTGCCTGATACTTGCACCGATTGCGCAGCATTTATAGTTCGTTGTGGCCACGCGACCGCCGTTACCATCGCTGGGAATCGTAATTGGTGCGGGGGATGGCTTGGCAGTCCGCTTGGCGGCTCATTAATTGTCACGATTTCGTTCGCCATTTTGGATGTGGGCTTGATCATTACGCAACAGTTATGATCCCTGTCGTCGGAGCTGTTGTTGCTGGACTCGGCCCTTTCCACGTGCCTGATTTTCCTGCTCAGACAATGTCTCAGTACTAAGTATAGGAACGGAAGGTCGTTGCGCTTGTTGATTGACTGTGAACCCTGACTCGGGTAGCTAGCGGCTCACGCGGCCGTCACCTCCTCGGCCTCGTTAAACTTTCGACCGGGTTCCATTGAGTAAACTGCATCTATCCTCCTTACTGCTGCTGCGTGTTCGACTATTCGCGTCCGGAGCGGTCTCCCATTTTACCTACGATTAAGTGTTCTCAACAGAATCCGAAAAGTCAGGTAAAAATAAACTCCATGTTACAGAACGATCTCATCTTCAGACGAAGAGGAAGCGAACACTGGAGCAAGAGTTTTATTTGTGAGACGAGGCCAAAATCCTCGCAAGGGGTTGACAACCGCGTGAGCCGCGAGCTACTGGAGTCGTGATTCTCACGTCCCGAGCCCATCAACAAGCGCAACGGTTTGGCGTTCCCATACGGTGTACTGAGAAGTTTCCTGAGCAGGAGAATCAGTCACGCGGGAAGGGCCGGGCGCAGCAACAACTCTAACGACAGCAGGCATGATTGTCACACAATTATCAGGCCCGCATCCGACGCTGAGAAGGCAATTGTGGCAATTACTGAGTCGAACGCTAAGTGTCAAGCCAGTACCGCGTCAATTAAGACCCAAGCTGTGGCAACAGAAGTGAATATATATCACACGCACACGCGGATGACCACTATGAACTATAAATACCG